GGCTGGCTCTGCCTCACTCGACATCTGAGGGCAGGCTCCACCTCACCCGACCCCTAAGGGCTGGCTCTACCTCGCCCGACGTCCGTGGGCTAGCTCCACCTCTCTCGATGTCTGGGGACAGACTTCACCTCGCCCGACGTCCGGGGGCTGGCTCCGCCTCGCCCGACGTCTGAGGGTAGACTCTACCTCGCCTAACGATCGGGGGTCGACTCCGCCTCGCCCGATGTCCGGGGGCTGGCTCCGTCTCGCCGGACGTCTAGGGGCTAACTCCGCCTCACCCGATGTCTGCGCGCTGCTCCTTCATAACTATGCGTGCAGATAAGGCAGGGCACTCAAGTCAACCGCAATACCGAGGACCATACCCTGCACGCCTGCAGGAAAGTACCATCACGATATGACAAAACGGGCGCTTTAAAGCCCTTCTGGGCATGTCAGAGCCCAAACAGTGTTGTAGGCGCCAACATTTGCCTTACAATGTTGTGGGCGCCGCCATTTGCCCTTAGGCGTGGATCCTGACGAAAGAATACGACGACCACTACGGTCTAGGAGGAGACTCGCATCCTCTACAGTGACGGATGTGCGGTCACTGCGCCGTCCACTCCCCATAGGGTCACGGATCAACACCCTAGTCCATCGCGCCGCTCGCTGGGATGGGATGGGACATGACCACTTGCTGATCAAGCTAGAGCATGGCATCATCAGCGGACAGATGCCCAGCATGGAGCTATCCCTGGCACCATCTGTCATATCAGCAGGGCTTGCTCAGAGTAAAAGGAAGACCCGGCACCTTCGAAGGACCTTCTTTGGCTCTGACTTTTCTTCTTTCTCCCATCTATAATCCCTACTTCCCCTTGGTCTATAAAAGGGAAGGCAGGGCACCCCACTAGAGAGGGGGGATCGATTCAACACACCACGCATCTCATCACACATAGCTGAGCAGCAACCAAGCTCTCGGCATCCATTCGTCCTTCCCATCAGAGACTTGGGACCTGTCCCTCTCTCGCCCATTTGTAACCCCTGCTATGAACCCTTCGGTGCTAATAACACGAGCGCCAGTCACAAACTGGACGTAGGGATATTCTGTCCAAACCAGTATAAACCTTGTGTCTTTTAGCACACCATCCGGGTCCAACGCGTAATAATACAAATTTACTCGTTGGTGTTTACTCGAAACACCGACACTTGCCGTAGGGAATCAATGGAAGAAGACTTGAGACTGCCGTCATCTTGCGCTTGCTGGAGCCGCCACTGTCGTGCACTGACGAAAGCTGCAGTCACCACCGAAGGAGCTTCCCCACCAACGCCACCACGCTTCGGCTATGCCCCCACGACTCGGATCGAGAAGGATTCTGGAAAGTGCCGCCAAACGCCACCGGAGCCATTGTACTGCGCCGCCACGCACCACAAGCTCTGTAGATCGCGAAGTTACCGCCGCCAACGCCGTAATCCTCGAACGATGTGGTCTACCGCCGCCTTACTCCGCCGCCGCGCGCCACTAGTCAACCCGCACAAGATCGATGGAGCCGCTGCATCGGATCAAGGAGATCCGTCGCTGCCACACTAGGTTGCACCGCCGTGAAGAAGAATCAGATAACTACGTCGGAGCAGGAGCAGATGCTGCCCACCACCTATGCCGAGGAAAGTTGTCTCCGATACCAATTGTCACACCCCGTTGCCACTGCGTGGTGAGGACCGGGATGGAAGGATTCAACGAGCTCACCTAGCCGCTCCTTCCTAAGGAAGAGGACGATGTTTTGAAAAATATTTCTCACTTCTGTTCGATGCCTGATGATGTGTGTGACTGTTGTTTTGTAGACTATCTTGGACCGGCACTTGGGTTGTGACAGCAGCAAATGGGCTTGCCAGCCCATGGTTGCACTTGGGCATAATCCCTGGTATTGCTGGGTACGACACAGACTCGCAATAGAGCATTAGGGCCAGCTGGCTGGGTGGAGGGCGTGAGCTATGGAGGCGCTGTCATCGGCGACGGCGGCGCTTCCACTCAAAAAAAAAATCAGCGACGGCAGCGGTGGCGGCGGGGCACTCATCTCCAAGATCCACACCGGCACATCCTCCGACGCATCGCGGGCAATGGCGCATCCCCGGCACATCCCTCGACGCATCCCCCGATGCTCCAAGATCGTTGGCGGTGGCCTAAGGACTCCTCCCTCGACGCATCCCCCGACTAAGTATTCTAGGTGGGTTTCTTGATCTTTTCTCCAGGAATTGTCCCTCCGCGCCGCGTGATTTGGTCATGATATGGTTCGCGTGATTTGGTCGTGATATGGTTCTTTCGCGGCTACATGATGGGATCCAGGTCGGTTCCCTAGGTTGCCTGGCTATTTTGGGAGCGATTTTCTTGGCTTGATGTATAGCTGCAAGTTGAAGGTATATATCGTTGAACCTATTGGGTTATAGAAGTATGACAAAATTGTTTCTTGATAAGACTATATGCACTTCGCTCGACTTGCAATGATTTTGTGCTGACCTTCTAAGAAAAATGCTTATGTTGTCCTGTCCTCTCTGAAGTACCCCTCGTGATCTATCTCCTTAATAAGGATGGTTCTATCTGGTATTTTAGGCTCCATTATCAAACTTGTATGCATTTTCTCTCACCATGTCACTGTTATCAGCTAGCAATGGGCATAATTGTTTATTAGTTAAAAAAAAGTTGTGTTCAGAAGAATATTCACCTGCGTTATCAGATCAGTAACAATATGATAATAATAAAATAATCATTGACTTGCCTTTCCCTTACAATTATTTATTTCTTTTCACAGGGTCTTGTTCCTCTAGCAAAATTACTCCTATCACTTGGCAGTACCTTCTTTCTGGCATTTGGGCCTCCCGAGGGCCTGTTTGGTTAGGCTTTTTGAACCTGCTTTTGCTTTTGCAAAAGCTAAAAGCCAACCAAAGAGCCCAAAAGTCACAACTGCTTTTGCCCAAAAGCAGCTTTTGTTTTAGTATAAAACTGAAAGCAGCCCTTCCCCTGCTTTTAGCTGCTTTTGGGGTAAAAAATTACCCACCTGCCACTGGTTATGAACGTATTGGTTTGTTTTTTTCTGTCTTCTATTCTATCCTCGTTCCCAGCTCGCGACTCTACCATCTCAGGCGGCCTACTACACGCTCGGCACCAGCGGTGTCGCTGCCCCTGCCACGGCTCCAGAAGTCACGGGCGCGCCCCCTTCGCGCCGATGCGGCCCTCGTCGTCGTCTTCCCCGCGGCCGGCCACCAAGCAGGATCTGGCGGCGTCCTTCATGCGGGATCTGGCAGCCGGCCACCGAGTGGGCCACTTCGCCTGCGCAACCCCTTCTTCCGCCGCCGCGCGCGAGCCCTCTCCCTTCACTCGCGTCGTCTCTCTCTTGTGCACATTCTTTATCTGCTCCGCTCGTCCACCATGGACAGCCGAGCAGGGGGCTCTAGGTCGCGAGCCTCTGCTCCATCCCGACGGCGACGATGAGCTCCATCCCAGCGCCGGCGTGGGCCCTGCAACATCTCGGAGCAGCGCGCGGGCCCCATCCCGATGGCGGCTCGAGATCCATCCTGGCGGCGCGAGCTTCATCCCGGCGGCTTCCAACAACGCGGCCCTGCGGGAGCGGGCGCGTGGCCATGGCCAGCGCGGGATCCGACGGCGGCCCTGCTTGGCGTGGGCGTGCGGCCATGGCCGGCGCGCGGCTCTGCCCCGCGCGGGAGAGGGCGTGCGGCCATGGCCGGCGCGGGATCCGCCAGCGGCCGTGCCCCTGCGCGAGATTCGGTGGTGGCCCGGTGTGGTCTCCTGAGGTGGCCTTAGCGCTGGCGCGTGGCCCTGCTCCGGCGAGGTGCACTCCTCCGGTGCCCATTGAAGCCAACGGCTCTATTTGGACAGACTGCATACGTGAAGGCCAAGAGGAAGAAGCTGAAGCTGACGAGCGGGGCCCGCTCGTCAGTGAGAGAGGGAGAGAGTTGGGTGTGGATGACATGTAGGATCCGTTCAATAGTTTTTTCAAAAGTCATAGCTGCGTAACCAAACGGCCTTCGGCTTTTTAGACAACTACTTTTCCATAGCTGCTTTTCAAAAGCCCAAAGCTCACAGCAGCTTTTTCAAAAGTCACAACACAACCAAACGAGGCCTGAATCTTGTCACCATCTCTCTTTTTGCTGTTTTATATGTGGTAAGCTTATGCTAATCTCACCTTTCATGTGCTAATGCATGTTCATGGTCCATATCTGCTCTGTTCTTAATTTTCTTTCTGCTTGCATCCATTACCGGACTGCTATCTGATTATATGTTTTAGTATAATAGAACAAACTCAGTTAAAATGGATATGAATTTGTACACTGAATGGTACAGTTGCAATGGCCGTGTGGCTCTGAATGAGCTGTTTTCAACTACTAGCTGATATCGTTGTTTCCTATCGTATTATTTACCATCAACATTCTAAAGTTGCCATCATTATTTAATTGCTTCAGTAGGGCCTTCTTCAGATTGCCTCAAAATTTTAAGTTTTTTCACTTTCTCTTCATCACATCAATTTTTGGACGCATGTATGGAGCATTAAATGTAGGTAAAAAAAAATAACTAATTACACAGTTTGGTTGTAAATCACGAGACGAATCTTTTGAGCCTAGTTAGTCCATGATCGGACAAAGTTTGTCAAATACAAACAAAACGTGCTATAGTGTCCAGATTACAAAAATTTGCAATCTAAACAAGGCCTAGTCAGCAATGCTTTGATTGTGAGCTGTAATAGTAAAATGTACCTATATTCAGAAAATGCCATCATTCTGCATATGTTAACTATTCTTTTGTTCCTGCCTTTTTTTGTGTTAGACGGAAGACTCCTGGACGGCAGGATCCCATCGTCACAGCCAAAAAAAAAACAGCACTGCTACTCGGTGCTCCGAGCGTCACAGACAAACCCACCACGTCGGCTCACCGCTGCTCGGTGCTCCGAGCGTCATCCTCCGCCCCGACATTTAAACCTTCGCTCCCGACCGTCGCCGCCGACTCCTCATCCCCAATGCTCTCCTCCTCCTCCATCGCTCACTCGGCCGCCTCGCCCCTCCCCGGCCCCGCTTCCGCAAACCCTAAGCCCCGCTCGCGCCTCCTCCGCCTCCGCGCCGCCTCGCCCATGCCGTCCGCGGCCTTGAGCGCGCGCGGGCGCCCGCCGATGTGTACGGTCGGGGCTTCGTCCGCCGCTGGGGCGGGCGGCTGGGGAGCGGTGGCAGTGGGGGAGTTGGCGACGGAACGGCTGGTGGAGGTGGCGCAGCGGGCGGCTGACGCGGCTGGCGAGGTGCTCAGGAAATACTTCCGCCAGTGGGTTGAGGTCATCGACAAGGAGGACCACAGTGCGTGCTTTGCTTCTCTCTATTGACACACCACACTCGTAATTTCGTTTTGCTTCCTGCTTGGTTATAGGGACAGTGTGCTGGTTGTTGAATCAGAGCGTGTGCCCTGTTCTCTTTGCACGTTGTAAACTAAGTATTTAGTACTAGTATTAGTTTCTGTTACAAGGAATGCTGCCACGGCTAGTGCAGGAGCATACTTTGTTTGAAATCACTTGAAACTGTAAACTAACAGGCTGATAGTCTTAGTTACGTCCTGCAGTATGCAAATCATTTCCAAAGAAAGAAATGTGTAGGAAATTTGGTATGGGTTGTAAATTACTCAATGTTCAGGGAGCACTAGTTAATAGAAGTGGAGATAAATTACCAGTTAATTTTTTTGTAAGGAATTACTCAATTCATTGTTTGTGCTATTGATGGGAGCCTCCTTTCTATCGGTCTGCTCAGGCGAGCGTTGGAAAATTCAAGGATTCTAAACCCTTTCTGTGTATATCCTTGTATAGTTATGTTTTTACCTTCAAGCCCAGATAATCATTAGGGCTTGACTTGTGAACAAGATTGACTATATATAATTGTACAACTGCCTTCCTCAGTAACCCATTCTGCACAACCTTGTCAGGACAACAAATCAATCTCGGCAATTGACTTAGTTGGATTAGGTAGGTTGAGATGGAGAATTTGTGGTCAAACAACAGGACGAGCACGATGGCATCACTAAGTACCATCTAATAGTGCTAGCAGTGTGGTTTGTGGTGACTTGGTTGGTAGAAGAAAATCAACCCTCAGTTTATGTTACAACTTTCTAATAATTATCTATACAGGAAGCTCATGCCTGATAGACTTGTCATGTGAAGTGTTCACACCAATATTGAAGTTCTTTAAGTACTCTTTTGTTCAATTTGATCAACATAGCAATGTTTTAAACTGGGCTGATTTCGGGATGTATAGGAACCTACTATCCATATCTGATTATTGGATAAAAGGATACTTGCACTGGGTCACTAGAATATGTTGTTTAAATTTATTTGGTGGTTTTGTGCCTTTTTTTGAACTCATGGGATTGTTCAATATGGTCCAGGTCCTGTTACGATTGCAGACAAAGAAGCAGAAGAAGCAATGGTGTCAGTTATACTAAAGAGCTTCCCTACTCATGCCATGTGGGATTGCTTTGCTAGTGTTTAAAATCTTCTGTTCACTTTTATTATGACACCTTGAACATGCAGTTACAACATTTACTTGAATCATGCAGTTTTGGTGAGGAGAATGGTTGGAGATGTACGGAGAGTTCTGCAGATTATGTTTGGGTTTTGGACCCAATAGACGGAACAAAAAGTTTCATAACTGGTAGTGGATCTTTGATCGCATTATGAGTTTATGACTGTGAAGATTAAGTTGAACTTAGTTATAATGACTGCCAATTCGTTGTTTGTAGGCAAACCTCTTTTTGGTACACTTATAGCACTTCTGCACAATGGGAAGCCGGTACACTTGTTTTCTTTTGTTCATTTCTAGCTGCCTTTGTTTCCTTGGTATTTCACTATTTCCTTCATTGTTTTTACCACTACTGCACTGCATATGCAGAAAGTTAATGCTTTATCAGTGTCACGAAACATCATATTGTTATATTTATATAATATCTCTGTTGGTTATATCAACAATGAACTAACTTTACATGGCATTTTGATGAAACTTTTCTAAATCATTAGCTATTTTAATCATGATATATCTTGTTGAGAAATTTCTTGAAAAATCTCTTTGTGGGCATCTTTACTAATATATTTGATATAGCTATTTCTTTAGTTAAGCTTGATTTTGTGCTTCTTTTCTCTAGGTTATTGGTGTCATTGACCAGCCAATCTTGCGAGAAAGATGGATTGGGGTGGATGGGAAAAAAACAACTTTGAATGGACAAGAGATATCTGTTCGCTCTTGTAATTTACTTGCACAAGCTTACTTGTATGTACATTTGTTTTAGTATTTAGATGTAATGTGGTTACATCTCTTTACAGTCTTGAAAAATTCATTACAGTATAACAATTCTTTGTTCTGCTTTGGCAGATATACGACAAGCCCACATCTCTTCGAAGGAGATGCTGAAGACGCATTTATTCGTGTAAGGAATAAGGTATGGGTGTTACATATAACTTCATGTTTTTCTTCAATTGTCAACACTACTGACATGTATTTTACCATCTGTATTGCCAGGTGAAAGTCCCACTTTATGGCTGTGATTGTTATGCTTATGCTCTTCTGGCTTCTGGTTTTGTGGATATTGTTGTTGAATCCGGTTTGAAGGTATGATGTCTACTTTTTTGTTAGAACTTTGGAATATGGCACTAGCCTTTAAATTGTGTTCAGTAGAGGGTTTCTTGTTTTCTATCTTTTCTGACAACAAAAAAAGAAAAGGACCATAAATAAACTGAAACCAATCAAATAGAGTTGGCTTTAACTTTTAATTATTCGCATTTGACAGTTTGAGAGAGGTCTTTTTGATTTGCTAGCAAGATTGGATTACTTGCTGAAGCGTTTAGTTTCCTAAGTATTGCTCAGATGGCCTCAGAAATTATGCATACATTGTGAAAGCTTGAGTCAGCTTAATAACATTGAAGACGAGGTTGACTCAAAACTATTAGGCATTTCATTCATAGTTTTTTGGATCGGTGTTTTAGTAGTACCAAATTGGTTTTTCATGTTTATGTAGCGAGCCATTAGTGTAGCTTATTACCAAGCATTAAAGTTCTCTTCCTCTTTTATTCTCATCTGTATATAATGGTGCTGGTATTTGGTTGGTACTAGGTAAGCATGGGGGTGGTTATGCATTTAGGTATTGTTTTGATCCCTCTAGATAACCACTAGAACCATGCTGTCTCAACTTCTGGATCATTTAATACTTGAAATAGCTGGTTAATCATTTGAAAAGATATATATGATATCATAAGGAAGTTATCTTCATGCATGATAAAGAACAGAACAACAACAACAACAACATAGCCTTTCAGTCCCAAGCAACTTGAGGTAGGCTAGAGTTGAAACCCACCAAGAGCCCCAAGTCACGGTTCAAGCACTTCAATAGCTGCTTTCCAAGTACTCCTATTCAAATATAGATCTCTAGGTATATCCCAATCTTTCAAATCTCTTTTTATTACCTCCCCCCATGTCAATTTCGGTCTTTCTCCACCTCTCCTCATATTATTAGCTTGGCTTAGGACTCCACAATACACTGGTGCCTCTGAAGGTCTCCTTTGGACATGGCCAAATCACCTCAACCGATGTTGGACAAGCTTTTCTTCAATTGGTGCTACCTCTAGGCGATCACGTATATCATCGTTCCGAACTCGGTCCATTCTTGTGTGACCACAAATCCATCGCAACATACGCATTTCTGCAACACTCAGTTGTTGAACATGTCGAATCTTTGTAGGCCAACATTCTGCCCCATACAACATAGCCGGTCTAATCGCCATTCTATAAAAACTTGCCTTTTAGCTTTTGTGGTACCCTCTTATCACAGAGAATGCCAGAAGCTTGTCGCCATTTGATCCACCTTGCTTTGATTCTATGGTTAACGCTCGTATCAATATCTCCATCCCTCTATAGCATCGATCCCAGATACCGAAATGTATCCTTTTTAGGCACTACTTGACCTTCCAAACTCACATCTCCCTCCTCCTGTACAACTCCGTCAAAGTCGCATCTTATGTATTCGGTTTTAGTTCTGCTCAATCTAAAACCTTTAGACTCAAAGGTCTGCCGCCATAACTCTAGTTTCTTATTTACTCCCGTCTGGCTTTCGTCCACTAACACTATATCATCAGCGAACAACATACACTGGATATCCCCTTATATGTTCCTGGTAACCTCATCCATTACCAAGGCAAAGAGATACGGGCTTAAGGCTGATCTTTGATGAAGTCCAATTGTAATCGGGAAGTAATCTGTGTTACCATCAGTTTGTTCGAACACTAGTCACAACATTGTTGTGCATGTCCTTGATGAGGGTCACGTACTTTGATGGGACTTTATGTTTGTCCAAAGACCACCACATAACATTTCTTGGTATCTTGTCATAAGCCTTCTCCAAGTCAATGAAAACCAAGTGGAGGTCCTTCTTTTGCTCTCTAAACCGCTCCATAACATGTTTTATTAAGAAGATTGCTTCTGTGGTTGATCTTCCGGGCATGAAACCAAATTGGTTTGTTGATATCTGCGTCGTTCCTCGCAGACGCTGCTCGATGACTCCCATAACTTCATAGTGTGGCTTATCAACTTAATTCCACGATAATTAGTACAACTTTGGATATCTCCCTTGTTCTTGTAAATTGGTACCAATATGCTTCTTCTCCACTCCTTAGGCATCTTGTTCGATCGAAAGATATTGTTGAACATCTTGGTTAGCCATACTATAGCTATATCCCCGAGACATCTTCACACCTTGATTGGGATACCATCAGGGCCCATCGCTTTGTCCCCTTTCATCATTTTCAAGGCTTCTCTGACCTCCGATTCTTGAATCATCCGCACAAAGCGCTTGTTAGTGTCATCAAACGAGTCGTCCAGCTGAACGGTGGTGTTCTCGTTCTCACCATTGAACAATTTATCAAAATACTCTTGCCATCTATGTTTGATCTCATCCTCCTTCACCAAGAGCTGATCCCTCTCATCCTTTATGCACTTGACTTGGTTGAAGTTCATTGTCTTCCTATCACGAGCCCTAGCCATCCTATAAATGTCATTCTCTCCTTCCTTCGTACTCTAACGTCGGTAAAGGTCCTCATAGGTCCGTCCCTTTGCCTCACTCACCGCTCGTTTTGCAGTCTTCTGTGCCACCTTGTACTTCTCTATGTTGTTTGCACACCTGTCATGATACAAGCGCTTATAGCACTCCTTTTCCTTAATAGCCTTTTGCACATCCTCATTCCACCACCAAGTGTCTTTCGAGTCGCATTCGCTCCCTTTGGTCACTCCAAGCACCTCTGAAGCAACCTTTCGAACGCATGTTGCCATCTTCTCCCACATGTTGTTTGCCTTCATCGTTCCAAGGGCCCTCTTCAATGACTTTTTTCTTAAAAACCTCTGATGCCTCTCCTTCTAATTTCCACCACTTCGTTCTAGCAACCTTAGCTTGTTTGTTCCCACTAGCTTGCACCAAAAAGCGGAAGTCAGCCACCACCAACTTGTGTTGAGCGACCACTCATTCTTCAGGTATCACCTTACAGTCCACGCATGTTCGTTCATCTTTCCTTCTTGTAAGGACAAAGTCGGTTTGACTAGAGTACTGACCGCTACTAAAGGTTATTAAATGGGAGTGTCTCTTTCGGAAGAAAGTGTTAGCTATCATCAGATCAAAAGCTACGATAAAGAACAGAAGTTTAGAAAAATTATTCTCTAAACTCGGATTTGATTTCACATGACTATAGTCGCTAGTACAATCTTAGGGAAAAGAAAAACCGTGATCATATGTAATAGAATAACAGCGGTCAATGTTGCATGCATTTACTGCCTGAATGAATGAAAGCTCTTTACTACGATAACTGATTTGGTTGGTGGCATGGTGCAGCCATACGATTTCCTCTCCCTGGTACCTGTCATTGAAGGAGCTGGTGGGTCAATAACTGATTGGAGAGGGGACAAGCTCCATTGGCCTGTTACCGCAGAATCACGGCCGACAAGTATAATCTTCATTTCCCATTAAAATTTGTGAAGCTCTTTTTGCTGTCTTTAGTCTTTTCTATGTTTCCTTAACTATAGAGTGACCCTCTGGTTTCAGTAATTTCATAGGTTAATTACGACAAACTGCATTACGGCAAAAACTTGCCTATGTCACTTCAATCGTGCACTTCTTGCTTTTGACCAGCAAGATTTAAGTTCACCTCATTCTGCACTATTGATTTATTTGTAGGTTTCAATGTGGTAGCAGCTGGGGATGCCCGTGTCCACAAACAGGCCCTTGATGCGCTGCAGTGGCGCTAGTGTGCTGCTTAGATAAGCATTATACTAATGCCCAACTATTTAGACATTTACAGGTGATATTTATATGATCAATAATAAGCTTTACCTGTATGCTAGTTGCTTGACCTCAATCTTGCTTTAATAATAAACAGCATGGTTGTAAACTATCAAGCAGTGGCTTGCTGTTTGCACCAAGCAGAGATTGTGTCATGGGAATGCTAAATGTGCGAGGTCTTACCTCAGTGTGAGCTGCCCTTGCATCCAGCAATGATGCGCTGCACAGTGCTTGGGGACGCTTAATTGAGAGTTTGGTTGGTGTTGTTTCCATGGCTTATCTGGGTGCTGCACCCTAGCTGAATTGTGAGTTATGATTTCCAGCCTTTGTCTAAATTTTGGACCTGCGCTTTGGGCAATGGCGTTTCCTGGCTTCAGATGCCTAGGTTCGTTGAGCCATGTCTCCAATGGTCATAAAAGTCATAGGTATAAGGAGGTACATGTCACATAAAGACTACGATAAGTGTATCTTTTATTTGTTTTATTAATGATTGTATACGTATGGCCAATATGGTGATAATTGTGCTGTTTCTAGCTATAGTTTTGCTCTTCGATAATAGCTAGACTAGTCTTCTCACCGATTTTACTCACGTAGGACGATTGATGATGCAGTGACTAAGGTTAGAAGCCGTCAACAATCATATAACCATGGTGGTGGTGGTAATAGTCTCTACCACTAATGGCAGCAATCTTTCATCTGGGGCAGCTAAATGGTCATGCATTTGAATGCAGAGATCAGCACTACTGATAATGGCTCCGTTCGCTGGTCTGAAACTTGGCTAAAACTGGCTGGTTCTGTGAGAGAGAAACACTGTTTGGCTGGTTTGATGAACAGTAACTTGTGAGGAGGAGCAGCCAGCAGACCAGCGAACGTGCCCAATGATGTTCGATCTACTCCATCCGTCATAGAAAGAATAATGCATTGCGATGAAGATGCCATAATGCGATATGGACGGTAGGTTCACCAGGAAAAAAAAACATGCAAAGCTAGCGTTTACGTGCTATGTTTAACTCTTATCAGATACGGCTGTGCAGGAACTGTGTGGCAGACAGGCCCAGGTACTCCGCGGTGACGGGCCTGAAGACTCGCGGCTCGTCGGACTCGAGCGCAGCCGCTAGACGCGGCCACAGGAAGGCGCTGGCAATCCACGAGCCATCATCCCCGGGTCATGCGGCGATCTGCATGAAACCAGAGCACAACCTCGCCGTCGACGCGCTTGTTGGCAGCGCCATAGCGGCGGGGCCGAAGCCGAAGTCCGTCGGTGGCGAACGAGGTCACGGTCATTGTCGGGCTGCCCACCCCGATGCACGCGGCCTCGACGTACCGCTCGGTCTTGTGCTCCTCCACCCAGTCCACCAGCTCCTGGAAGTGCTCGTTGTACGCCGGCGCTGTGATCGTCTCGCTCACCATGGCAGCAGCCACATCCGACAGCGGCGCCCGCGCAACGTCGTCCACGCCCCTCTCGGAGCACGAAGGTGGTGACGTTGCCGACGTAGTTGCGCATCACGGTGCGGAGCTCCGGCGGTGATGTGAGCCACGGGCGCCCGTCCACCCACCATCCCATCCAGCAGCGTGCGTCCGCCACGCCCACGACGCCGGCGAGGGCCTTCCAGAGGTAGGCCGAAATGGCCTGGACACGAGTCGCGCGCCAGCCGTTTCGGCTCGCCTCCTCGCAGCTTGGCGATGTCGGACGCGTCGACGTAGTACAGGCGCTCGACGAAGCTCTGCTGGCATGTCAGGACGTTGATATGACGGCGCCGTGCGAGGCCGGAACACGGAGCGGTCGAGGTTCGGCCGGGACCCCGTGGAGAGCTTCCCCGACAAGGCGAGCTCTGACCAAGCGCTAACGAGCGAGCTCAGCGCTCTCCCGTCGACGAGAAGGTGGTTGGTGGACCAAGCCATGGTGAAGCCGCCGCACGAGAACGACGTCACCTGAACAGACAGCTCCACGTCCTCGCCGTACGGCAGCTGATCCTCCTCAAGGACGCGCTCATCTCGGCGTAGTTCAGGCTCGCCAGCGCCACGCCACCGGTTTCCCCGACCACGAGCTCCGCGCCTTGGTTGCTGCAGTGAACCTCGGGGAGGCCGGAGCTCGGGTTGGTGGCGATGCGGCCGGCGAGCAGGAAGTAGTGGTTCAGCAAGGAAAGCAAGCCAGCCTCGAAGGTGGCCACAACGGCGTCGAAGGCCATGGCCGTGGCTGGAGGCTTGGGGTAGGCAGAACATGGCGACCTGGATGGTTTGCAGGAGGAGATCGAGGTTGGAGACGGCGACGACGTGCAGCTCGATGGAGGTGTCGGAGGCAATCACGAGGCGAGGGCTCACGACTCGGACATGCATGTCCTTGCAGCCATGGACGCCAGCCATTCTTCCTTGTTAGTAGCTAGGCTGTAGATTCTGAAACGATAATGATACATGACGGGCGTCCAGACGGAACGGACGCACCCGCGCCAAACCAACCGCCGCACGCCGCTCCCAGTCCTTATTCTCTCGGCCGCTCACTCCCGAGTCCCGCAACGCTCGCGTCGCCCTCTCCGTTCTGTTGTTGCGCGTCGCGTGTTCGCTGGGAAACGCCGCACGCCACCTCGTTGTCGCCCCCGCTCACCGGCGCTCCCTCCCTTCCTCCCCTCCCTCCCTCCCTCCCTCCCCCTCTGCGAGCTCCATGTGACTCCGCGCTGCCCAGCGACCCAGCTTCCGTGCTCCCCACCGGAGATGACAACGAACGGCGGCGGCTCCGACGAGGTAGGTGGTCTTTCTCTGGATCTGAGCTCTCCTCCTCCTCGTCTGGATCTAAGCCATCCTCCTCCTTGTCTGAATCTGAGCGCTCCCTCTCCTCCTCCTCCTCTGGATGTGAGGGACACTGCTGTGGCTAGGATTCCGGCGAGCTCTGGGTCTCTATTCCCTCCTTCACGTGTTGTAATGGGTGTTTTGGGATATTGCAACATATGATTTTCGAATGTTGCAATGGGATTTTTCGGTTGTTGCAACAGATGTTTTTGCGATGTTGCAGTACTACTGTTTGAGATGTTGTAGTACATAAATTTTGATTTTGCAGCACATAATTTTCGATGTTGCAGCACATATTTTTTCGATGTTGCAGCAAATGTTTTTTTCGATGTTGCAGTAAATGTTTTTTCGATGTTGCAGTACTTATTTTTTAGTTGTTGCAGTAGATATTTTTTGAATGTTGTAGTGCATGTTTTTTAATGTTGCACTACATATTTTTTTTAATGTTGCAGTATTTACAATCCGTTGTTGCACTACATAGTTTTTCCATATGTTTTTGTAATGTTGTAGTTGAAGTGTTACATGCTTTTTTGGGACAGGGATGTGGTGGGGGAACTGGGTGCGTCGGAGAACGGGGGACATGAGCGCGTTGTGGAGCAGAGGAAGCGCGGGTTCCGTTTTCCCTTCTATTCCATGCGGGCGGGCGGGCGTGGTTGCGTGTGGGGGAGGGGGGTGTTGCAGGACCGGCGTCCGGACGCTGGTTGCGTCGATTCTGAAAAGCATGCGCTGCCCACGTATAAACGCACAACCAGTTCGATTCTCTCCTTAATTTGGAGCCATTATATTTGAAATGACATAAACTAGATGCTGAGCTCACTGGCTCTCGAATTAAGCAATGTTTTTTTAGCCCTTGAAGTCAACGGAATCTTTCGTAGAAACGGGGGCTTCGATGCCGCTGGAAAAATACACGAACAAGCCAGGCACGATTCAATAATCGAGCTAGGCGGTTGACTTGTAGGATCGTATTCGTACGATCAGCATGAGTACGCCATTTACAACTTAGGAAGAACTTCGAACATATTTTGCAAAAGTTCGGGCGCTGTTAAAAAAATATATATCTAGTTTGACATGCATTATATGTAATTTGTTTTACATATGCAACTTGATTTGATAGTGTATGAGCTAGAACTTGACGCGGTGGATATCGATTTTTTTTCTTTTGCTAGTAGTACTGATTAGGGCCTTTCTAATGGTAGAGTGAGTTACTATCTCTATATGAAACGTACATATCACTCAAAGATTAGCACAATAGTCAAAGACAATGTGTCCAATGGATTAGCTATAGCATACAATAATATTTTCTGAGTTAATTTGAGTCCACATGACATAGAGTTTTATTAATTTTTGGAAGTTGCTATATTTTATGTGTATGAATTTTTAGACATTAATCTTAGACAACTAGTACAATTAAAAGAACAATACAGTTCATTTTTTTCTCTATAAGTAAACCATGACAAAACTATAGTAGCCTAAACAACAATAAAAAATCAGGCAATGTAAGAGAAGTGCTTATTAATTGCATATGTATCCTATACCCTATATCTAGTGGCGGAATTAGGACTTTTGATTAAGGGGGCCAGACAATATGATAACACCTCGTAAATATGACAAATATATATATCAAGTGTATGTCTCAATAGTTTTTCAAAACTTATATATATATATATATATATAGCGAAAATACAATATTATCATAAAAATGAATGAAATGATAATTCTTTGTGTTATATAATTGAAATATTGATAGGGTGTTAGACACTTTTTACTGTGTTAGGGAGGGGGGCCAGGCCCCCTGCTGGCCCCTTGGTTCCGCCAGTGCCTATATCCTATACCAATATAGATGGAGGCCACTAGCAATCACTCATTGCTATAAAGCTCAACCCACAACAAGCCACATCATCTCTAATTTACAACCGTTAGATGGTGAGGTATCCCATCTTTTCGTTCATTTGTTAGAATCCCCCGTTACCAGTCTTTCATGTCCATTGCTCTCTAGCACGTTCCACCAGGTACGGCGTTCTTTTCTGGGGTTTTCCTTGCTTGCTTTATTTTCATCTCCTACTTTGCACCGTAGACTTCCCTATGTTGGCTACCAGTTATCCACAAATCTAAATTCAAATCTGATTCATATATGCAGTTTTCCAAAAAAATATGGTTCAATCTCTAAAAATTTCTTAATCAATTTACCTTATATTAAAAAGATATGAAAGCGATACCATAACTTTCTAATAATATGATGTATCTATTTGTGTTCTATTTAGAGTTTTGAATTTTACTTATTTTTATTGCTAGTATTTTATTGCTTGTAGTCACAATCGTTATTTATTCAAATTAACATTTGAGCTTTACCTACTTTTATATATTGTGATTGCATAACGTTTGAGCCGTTGTCTTATCTGAAACATATTGCCTAGTCAACCGATCAAAACAAAGTAAAGCACTGACCATGCAATGCATAAATAGAGTCTATATGGGTCTGATTGGCTACTTGTATTAGGATGGCTTGTATATTATACCTTATGCAGCACAACCTAAAGCTATCTAAACATATGTAGTGCCTTCGTGTTTGGTTGTCCTGCATTAGACCTTATGCAGCACAACCTAAGCTAGAGGGATTTCATGTTCAATTTCAAAGTGACTGCCATTATCAATTCTTGTGGCAAACAACGCAGTGGGATTTCATATTTACGAGCTACGAAGATTCATTGGTGGTCATTTTGATGTTTATTCAAAATCCTTTGATGGGTGAAACACTTCTAGAAGTCATTCCTACTATAAACAATTTTTTAAACCCATATTGTTTCTCTAATATTTTTCATGGATCCTAAATATATTGTAAACTTGTCATGAAAATTTTAAGCTTGTTTTGGATGTTTCTAAATTTAATTTCAAAAATAAAATCTAATTTTAAGCAAGCGATTGGTTAAGAACTTTGGATACTCGTTGAGCACATAAATTACATGTCAAAAAGCTACTTCTAAAGCATAAGTTTAGATGTTATGGATTTTTGGAAAATATTTTGGGAAAAACAACTTAACTGAAAACTTAAATATAGCAAGAATTTTGATCTCAATACAGCAAAAGCTATGATGACAAATACAAATAAAATGGGTCACCCTTAACTTTTAGCATATATTTTAGAAAATCACAAGAGTTTTTTGAAGGCTCTAGGTCCTTATTTTTGGATCCACAAAAATTCAAAATGTGATACTTTGAAATTATCTTTATTATTACTTGTATAAAAGGATTTGCATAAAAAAAATCGCCGGGCACTGCCGCGATCAGACAAACGGAGAGGCCGAAAGGGATGGCACGAGCTTAGCTCGGCCTGTTGGGCCGCCGTTGTTAAGTATTAACTGGGCCAGAGTACTGCCAGTCCATTTCAAGGCTAATTTCTGAGGCGTCGTCGTCTTCCTCGGTCGGGTGCTGGAGGCACCAAACGCCAACAACGAAAAACTCCGCCGCAGACAGGCCATTGGAAGGAGAAGAAAGGAGTGGGGTCTTCGGTTCAGCTAGCTGGGGCAGCTGCCGTACCCTGCCGTAGGTGGAGCTCCGCCTCTGTCGGCACTTGAGAGGTTGGCAGGACTCATCCGCGTGTGCGGCCTACCCCGAGAACAGAACCACCCACACCTAGGTTCTTGTAGTGGATTCACTGGATTCAACCAATTGATTGCTATTTTGAACTGCGATTCTGCGAATTTGTGATCCTGTTAATTTCCACCACAGTCTTATTGCGGGCCAGAAACGCGAATCACGATGATTCCAGGAATCGCCCCCAAGACGGCGGCGGCGCCGGTGGCCTGGGCACCTCAGTCTCGGCACATGTTCGTGTTCGGCGCGGGCTTCGTCGGCCGCTACGTCTCGGAGCGCCTCCTCGCTCAGGGCTGGTTGGTTGCCCCCTCACTCTTGCCCCGCCCACTTCATCCTCCCTGCTTCTCGCTGGCTGGGCGGCGCGGGCGCAAATCAAGCTCGCTCCTTCCTAATTTCCAATTCCCCGTCTCAGCCTGATTCCTGATTTGGGAGTGGGTGAATTTGCAGGCAGGTCTCTGGGACGTGCACCAGTGTCACCAAGAAGAAGGAGCTCGAGATGCTGGGCATGAATGCTTTCGTTTTCGATGCCACACAGAGCAGGTGTGGATTCGTGCTGCTTATCCTGTCCCCTTTTCATTCTTGCACTTGTTTCTAGCCTGCTCCGTTTGTGCTTAAACATTGATGGTTCGTCAGCCAGAAACATTTCTAAATAATGAATCAAATATAAGGAAAGCAGAAACAACCTAAATCGTCAATAATTTGCTCGATTCACCTGTAGGAACTAGTAAGCAGTTTTTTTTTTTTTTATAGTGGAAACTAGTAAGCAGGTGGGAAGCTCCTCCCATAGCCACTGATTATTCCCTTTATGATAGGAATCCCACTGGCATATTGTACTTTCAAAGAACGCAGAGACAGGCCATATAGCAGTTTCTGGTGAAATCATGCAGAATCAGGTGGTAACAAGGTTCTTTTTGGTTACTAATCCGTTAGTTTGGCTTTGTAACACATTGCTTGCACTAGGTAACTGTTTGCAGCATAGATTCACTACCCGTACTTTAAGCCTATCTGATAGGCTAGTTGGTAGAGTTTATTTTACTTAGTTACCATGATATCAAACTGTGTATCTGACTCCATTCTGAGGTTTGAACACCCCTTGTTACTTAGCATGTGTTCTCCACATCCTCTTGCTCATATTAATGGGTGTGATGATAGTATGCTCCTGTACATAAATTTCTCTGTTCTTGGTTGAGTTTAAAGTGGTTATTACTGATAGATATGTCACTTCCAGCCTGGAAAATGTTCACAGTTTGCGACAAGCAACTCACTTGCTCATCTCCATCCCACCCATCCCTGGAATTGGTGATCCTGTAAGTTGTAAGTCAATCATTGCTTGCGTTTGTTTGATCAGGCTTTAATGCTAACTGGATTTCACTTTATGGTAATTTGCACCTGTTACCCCAGCTATTTAAATTAGATGAAGACCTGAGGAGAATGCTCAGCCATGGTAATCTTGAATGGTTATGCTACCTTTCGTCAACAAGTAAGCTCTCAAATATTTTGTGCACATTCAGCTTTAATTGCATGATTTCATTTAACCTGTTCATTATTTGTAAATCATATGCTACTTGGGGTTGGGGATTTCAGGGCTGTCAGGCTGAAGTTGCTCACCTGCTGCTCAAAGTTGTCAAGTTTTATTGGGGTTAGTCAAGAGAATTGCTGCAATCAGTCGGGAATTTCCACACTAAATATGTCAATATTTTTTCATAAGCTAAAAGCTGCAATATTAAAAAGAACTCGACCTGCGGGGGCAAGACCACCCAAACGGCGTTGCACTTAGAAGAAACTTCTCATGTGCAGGCCAAAGAAACACCCAAAAGGCCAGCTGCCCTGGACATGTGTCTCTCACTAAAACCGATTTTTTTTTTCTCGAAAACGCAGGAAAGGTGCGCATCATTATATTAAGAAGATGAAAAAGAGGGACAAGTGCCCATACAACACAAAATTGACACCCCCCCACACACACACACACACACACACACACTCTGCTGCTGCCCTTAGCTAAAACCGATTCAGATGGTTATTAACCCAGACCCAGGTCTTTTTATATTCGCTCCCACGGGGAGTTGAACGCAAAACCTGAGGGGGAGGGGATTCTTGTCTTTGCGGTATCATTAGAAATTGATGTTTATTATGAAAACTGGTGGGTTCAAATAGCGGGGAAGAAAAACAAATATCTTCTCTAAGCAGTTGTGATGCAGAGACTTGAAATTTTACTATCTATATATACCCAAACATCCAAACATGGGGATAGACCCCTCATATAAATCTTATTTAGTCACCACCATATTATATGTGGAGTGACATCAAATTGTGGAGAGTGCTTCTTCCATTCTTCTGCTTATATCATGTTAGCCTTAGCCATCAACTATATATCAAACTGGCATGAAGTATATTTACAAGCATTTTGTGGCTAGCACTGCATTTGGAGATCTGTGGGTGATTTGCACAGCGCAGCTACTGCAGTTGATGCATTACTCAATGAACATATTTCTTTTTCTCTTGGCATACAGTTATGAAGTTGTCAAACATTGAAGCTGAGTCAAGGGTAATAACAAATCATGCTATGTGCAGTGCACCATATAAGAGATTTTCGTCAGAAAGCTACTTTGTAACACTTTCTTACTTTCAGGTGTGTATGGTGATTGTGGTGGTGTATTGGTTGATGAGGAGTAAGGGACTCATTGGTTCTTTTCTTGTCCATGAAGTACATTATAATAGAAAGCTAAATACACTACTGTGCATGCAGTCATACAGTAAACCCAAAGAGCGAGTCCGCCAAATTAAGATATAACGCAGAAAAAGGATGGCTGAATCTTATTGATGATCTAAATCTGTCAGCTTTTATATTCCGTTTAGGTGGAATATATGGGCCTGGAAGAAGGTTTTGACCTGCTGAAATTTCATTCCATTTCACCATTTTAATTTCTACTAATTCAGACTTAAAAAATGGAACATTTGTTGGCATGCTGATTAGTAGCACTGTGTAAAGCTTATGAAAACTGAAACATATCTGTAATGGTAAGTTTGTTGCTTATTGAAAAAAAGGTGGCCAAATAATAGAATATATTATGACATGAAGAATATCTTATTGGAGACTGTTGTAGTACCTTGATAACTGTTTTGTGAAATCCTTTGTGTGACCGGAAGGTCCCGGGTTCGAGTCGCGGTCTCCTCGCATTGCACAGGCGAGGGTAAGGCTTGCCACTGACACCCTTCCCCAGACCCCGCACAGAGCGGGAGCTCTTTGCACTCGGTACGCCCTTTGTTTCATAGTTCTTTTCCTATATTCCAATGACTGGACGCTGTTTACTGCAGTGCTTTGGACACCTTAGCCAAGAGCAAATCTTTGTCAAAGAGAGAAAAGTTGCGAGAATCTAAGCAGTATACTGCACGAATCCACGTGGCTGACATCTACAAGGCTGTCTTGGCTAGCATGAGCATCAGATGTGCAAGGTTTCCTATTGATGTCACTTCAGTTTGTGATATCTTTAACAATATTTCAGTCTTAATTCCTGTGCCACGTTGCTTGTGGGAACGCACAACCAAGAGATTTGAACTTTATCTCTATTTTCTCTAGAAGACATCTTACTTACCAATTAACCAACATGATTATATCATGCATCATGAAGTTTCTCATGGTAACAAGTAGGGTGGGAATTTCACATTTTTTGCTATGAAACTTTGAATGCTACTCCCTCCATTCTAAATTATAAGTCATTCTGACTTTTCTAAATACATAGCTTTTATTATGTATGTAGACATAGTATATATCTAGATACGTAGCAAAACCTGTGTATCTAGAAAAGCCAAACTACTTATAATTTGGAGCGGAGGGAGTACCATGTTTAGTACCTCTATATGCAACATTTGCACGTTTGATATTCTGATCATACACTATCAAATATAAAAACTTCAATTCCAAACCCATTTACAGTTGGTACTCTAGTTTTTAGTCATGTTTGGTTCTTTCGTAGCGACCTAGTGAAAAATCTGAAATATCTTGTTTGCTAATGATTCACTTCTCATGTTTATTATTCTATTCCAGGAAAATGTTTAATGTGGTGGATGATGACCCTGCCCCAAGAGCTGAGGTTTTTGCGTTTGCTAGGAGTTTGATACAGAGGAGATATCCTGATCTGATAACTGAAACCATTGATGCCAAGTCTACAGGCTTAGATTATCAAGAAATAATTGTACCTGCAGAGAAACGGGTTTCTAATGCTCGGATGAAGCAGGAGCTCGATGTTAATCTGCTACATCCAACTTATAGATCTGGCCTTCAGAGTATCCTTGATGCTTGGCAAATTCAATCTCAACTTCCCAATAGAAGTCAGTGATGTTTTAGTTTTGGAAGACATATAGGTGTATGTATGTGCATCTATCCTTAATTTGGTTCAGATATAATAATCTACTAGTGGATGATAGAAACCTATACACGTTGTAGCCTTTTTGCAGAGTTGGTCTGGTGCTCTTGTTATTTTAGCAATGTTTACAAATCGTATAGTCAAACCAGATAATTAAGCGAATCAAGCAGGCAATAGATTCTTCAAATTAACTAATTAAGCAAATCATCATTCAAAGGAAAGCTTCCATGTCCATCTCCAATTGGTTCAGATCCATCCTCAGTATGTACAGATTCTTCATCCTCCTCGGTTGATGTTGCTGAACCAGATTCTACATGCTGATCTTGGTTCTCACAATGATCTCCTTCATCAATATCCTGAGCCGTTGTTGCTGAATCAGATTTTACATGCTGATCTTGGTCTTCACTGTCATCTCCTTCATCAGTATATTGGGCCGTTGTCTTCCTTGGGCAGTTCCTATTCCTAGCACAGTTCATGTTCCTTGTTCTAGACCTTGTATATCCAATTTTTCTTGTTTCTTTCTTTTTTTGGGTCTGCACGTATTTTATTGTTCCATATAAATAATCTGCACAATGTTATCCCCACGGCATTTTTTTGCCCTAAAAAACCATTGTTTTTTTCCCGAATGAGCAAACGGATTGATTAATTTAGCATCTCCAAGAGATTAGCTAAAAAGACTAGCTAAATTTACTGACTTAACTACCCTATAAAATAGATTTGATAAAAAAAATACTAGAGTACTCCAACAGACTCATTAAATTTAAGAGACTAGATGGCTAGTGAGGTAGGCTATCCAAAAGCATTGAGCGAATGAGGTAGGATGGAGAGTTACTAAATTTGGAGAAGGACGTTTTTCTTTTAATAATAACCAAATTTAACTTTAGAAAATGATTTCCTCTTGTTTTTAACACTTCTGTACAAGGTGATTGGATTGACTCTATTCTCGTAGCGCAGGAGCCACATAATTGTATATATTTTTTCCTATACTTTAGGAGACACATGAATTATCAAATCATCATAAACTGTTTTTTTCAGGTCTATAGTAACCTTGCTGTTCCGATGAGACCGGCCGGGTGCCCGGGTCATGTACGAACATGTATGTAGCAGCGACGGAAACAAATCCGTAGTAGTTCTGATTGTGTTCGTCAAAAATATGCAGATCAATCCTAATTGGATTCCTTTAGTCACACAAGCTGATATGTTAATTCACACAAAAAAAAATCAAGCTGATATGTTATTATGACAAACATTACAATGATCCCTCTTTCCTCACGTGAAGAAACATACAACGCGGCCGCCATGGCAAGCACGAGTTGGGCTGCCAAAATGCACGCGACGACGCTGACAAGGTTGGCAGATAAGCTGAGCAGATTCGCCTGCGAATTCTCGCCATCGGCGATAATGGCGCCGCCGCACCAAGACGTTGAGCTTGCAGAGGCTTGTAGGTTTTCCGTCTATGCTGGCTTCAGCTCTGCCCTCCTGATGCTCTCTCCCGATAGAGACAACGAGAACGAATCATTATCATCATCATACGCGTCATCAAGCTCACGTATCACCGCCGCCGCCGACGAGGTGCTGGACGATCCACCGGCGGAGGACAAGGAGACGACCCTCCCGTGCGTCGCGTTCCCGTCGCAGCACGGGTACATGGTCTTCTCCCTTGCCGAGGACCACATGTGCGACGGCGTCGTCCGGCTGCGTCCGGCACTGGGCGACGGATCGTGCCGTCCCCGTACGGCGGGGCGGTGCTCGCCACGGACCTGTCGTCTTTCAGGCACCCGTCCCGCCTCGTCGATCCGTTCACCGGCGAGTCCACGCCGCTCCCGGACCTGCCCGTCCCACTCTGGTACAAGGAGCCATCGTCGGTGTGCAAGCCCGAGGCGCCGCGCGTGCAGGGCCGCCGTCGCGCGGTGCCGCCCACCGACGATGGCTTCGCGTGGGACCGGTCACCGCGCGGCGTCATGATCGCGCGGGGCGACACGGTGTTTTTCTGCGAGGGCGGCGGCGGCGAGTGGATGACACTGTACCGGTCGACAACCGCGTCGGGCATGACCGTGAACTACCGCGGCGGCTTCTTCTTCGTCCTCCAACAGCGCACTCTGGTCACCACGGTCATCGACGCGAGGACCCTCGAGAAGGTCGCGGATATCTGGCCGCCGCTTGGCGACGACGACGACGCCGTCGACTGCATCCACCTGGTCGCCTCAACGGACGACGTCTTCTTGCTTGTCCACCGCGCAAGGGACATGGATTGTGAGCTGTTCTCCGAGGTGTACCGTGCCAGGCACAAGAAACCAAAGCCGGAGTGGTCCAAGGTGTTGATAAGCCTGTTGCCGGATATTGTATAGATTATTTTTCTTCCGTTGTTAGCGTAGCTAAGTTTAGCCAGCGCGCATGCAGCCACTCGCCATGAGCTCGTCATGCGCGCATTCTTCACGGCACGTCCCAGCGGTGTGGGATGGCACATCGTGTGCACGAACGTGCCGAGATTAGCTCTGTAATTAGGCTTTAAATTCAGCAATCTAAACCAGAAAACGCTGCCGCTTTTCGCAGCACCAAACTGGGTGTCCAATTGCATTCGCGTGTGTCCACTTCCATCTCAGATCCTCCTTTCTCGCTGAGCAGTTGATCGGGTTCTGTCAATTGGCATCGGAGCGGAGGTTAGCCGTCAACATGTCCAAGTCGCCGTCGGAGAAGAAGACGGCGGCTGGAGATGGCACCAGCGAGAAAAAGGTACCGCCGTCGCGCTCGCCGCCGCGTCACCGAGGCCGCTCCCACAACCGTCGCTCGCGCACCCGGGACGCTGGGTCGCGCGTCATCGAGCGCGTCGTGGAGCGCCCGTCTGCGAACGTCGCGTGGCCGATGCTCACGCGGACCAACTACCCCGAGTGGGCCATGGTCATGGAGGTGAATTTCCAGACCCTTAGGGTCTGGGACGTCGTGATCGACGCCATCGACGACGACCCCGACGAGGAGGACTACCACGCGGATCGCCAGGCGATGGCAGGGCTCCTGCGCTCGGTACCGTCCGAGCTGTGGAGAACTCTCGCACACCAGCGCACGGTGAATGAAGCCTGGGAGGCGGTCAAGATCCTACTGATCGGTGACGAGCGCGCGCGCGACGCCAGCGCGCAGCAGCTCCGCCGGGACTTCGGCAACCTCACCTTCAAGGAAGGGGAAACCATCAGCGACTTCGGCATCCGCATCACCGCACTCGCCACAAATCTCCGGACTCTCGGCGACAACATCACCGAACCTGAGGTAGTCAAGAAGATGTTGCAGGTTGTACCCGAGAAGCTGAGCCAAGCCGCGGTCTCCATCGAGATGTTCAGCGACCTGAACAAGATCTCCCTCGAGGACGTGATCGGTCGCCTGCGCGTGTTCGAGGAGCGTGCCAAGCCGCCGCAGGTCACGGACGCCATGGGGCGCCTGATGCTGTGCGAAGAGGACTGGGAAGCACGACGCAAAGCCCGCCACGAGCAAGACTCCGGAAGTAGCGCGGGTTCCAGCTCCCGTGGAAACCGCCGAGGACGTGGACGCGGGCGTGGCGGCTCCAACTCGGCACCGCGTGAAGGCCGTGACGACCAAAGCGCGGGATCCGGGAACTCCGGTGGTCGGAAACCGCCGCCTGGAGATCGCTGCAAGAACTGCGGCAAAACTGGCCATTGGGCCAAGGACTGCCGTGGCAAGAAGAAGGCGGCTGCGCACGTCGCGCAGGCGCAAGCCGACGATGAAGAATCGGCGCTCATGATGGCCACGGTGGAGCAGGCAGCGGTCAAGGTCGACGCACCCGCGCCAGCCGCCCCGCCGATGACGGCCGCTCCGCGCCGCGTCGAGCTGGTCGAGGCCAAGGTCTTCATCCAGATCGAAGGCCAGAGCGACGACGCTGGAGGACGTTGGGTCCTCGACACAGGTGCCATTAACCATATGACAGGTGTGCGGAGCGCGTTCGCTGAGCTCAACCCTGCCGTGTGTGGGACCGTGCGCTTCGGCGACGGATCGGTGGTGAATATTGAAGGGCGTGGCACGGTGCTCCTCGCCTGCAAGTCTGGCGAGCACCGTGCACTCACCGGCGTCTACTACATCCCGCTTCTCACTGCCAACATCATCAGCATCGGGCAGTTAGATGACGCTGGGAGCAAGGTCGACATCGAGCACGGCGTTCTGCGCATCTACGATCCCGACCGCCGCCTCCTCGCCAAGGTCAACCGCTCACCGAACCGACTCTACTACCTCGACGTCCACATCGCTCGTCCAGTTTGCCTGGCAGCGTGCAGCAGCGAGCCGGAGTGGCTTTGGCACGCGCGCTACGGGCACCTGAACTTCTAGGCGCTTCGTCGCTTGTCACGGGAGTCGATGGTCCGTGGCCTGCCTCCGATCGACCGCGTGAATCAACTCTGCGACGCCTGCCTTGTCGGGAAACAGAAGAGGGCGCCGTTCCCTCAGCAAGCCCTCCACCGTGCCGATGAGCACCTAGAGCTCATCCATGGCGACATCTGCGGTCCAATTGAGCCCACCACACCGGGGGGCAAGAGGTATTTTCTCCTGTTGATCGACGACATGAGTCGTTTTATGTGGCTCACCTTGATCGCAAGCAAAGATGAGGCGGCGGCTGCCATCAAGAAATTCAAGGCTCGTGCAGAGCTGGAGAGCGGGCGCAAATTAAAGGCACTGCGCACGGACAGAGGTGGAGAGTTCACCTCCATCGAGTTCGGCGCCTACATGGCGGATCACGGCGTCCATCGTCAACTGACGGCCCCCTACTCGCCCCAGCAAAACGGGGTCGTCGAGCGCCGTAACCAAACAGTGGTCGCGACGGCCCGTAGCATGATGAAGGCAAAGGGTGTTCCCGGGAGGTTCTGGGGGGAGGCCGTGCACACTGCGGTCTACCTTCTGAACCGCTCCCCCACGAAGCCGCTGGACGGGACGACGCCGTACGAGGCCTGGTATGGTGAGCAGCCGTCCGTCCATCACCTGAGGACCTTCGGCTGCGTCGGTCATGTCAAGGACGTGCGGCCTCATCGCAAGAAGCTCGATTATCGCTCCACTCCGATGGTCTTGCTCGGCTATGAGCCGGGGAGCAAGGCATACCGCCTCTACGACCCAGTTGGTGACCGTGTGCACGTGTCGCGCGACGTCGTCTTCGACGAGAGTGCGAGCTGGAACTGGGAGTCCATCTCGACCACCTCGACACCGGCCCAGGGCGCTGAACCCTTCAGCGTCGAGTACATGATCCTGCCTAGCAGAGGCAGGGCGCTGGAGTCAGCCGGGACGCCATCGTCATCAAGCTCAGCACCTGTGTCGCTGGCACCGGGCTCGCCAGCGCTCACCGAGATGTCGACACACACTCCAGGCGGAAAATCCCTCACAGCTCCACTGTCCCCACAGGACGGGATCGAGTTCGCAACGCCACCGACGTTCGACGACACACTCGACGCGGACGTGGACGACTCCGCGCTGCAGCGCTACCGGCGTGTTGATGACATCCTCGGCGGCGCCACGGAACCTGGGTATACACCTCGTGAGCTTGTGTTTGATGAGCTCCATGCAGTCACAGCGGAGGAGCTCGGATCGTACAAAGAGGCTGAGCACGCACCAGAGTGGCAGCAAGCCATGCAAGAGGAGATGGACGCCATCGTCGCCAACGGGACATGGAGTCTCGCCGAGCTTCCTGCCGGTCACCGCGCAATAGGCCTCAAGTGGGTCTTCAAGGTGAAGCGTGACCAGCGGGGCGCCATCGTCCGCCACAAGGCGCGCTTGGTGGCAAAGGGCTACGTCCAGCGCCAGGGGGTGGACTTCGAGAAGTATTCGCGCCGGTGGCACGTCTCGAGTCCGTGCGCCTAATGCTCGCCATCGCCGGGCACTGGAGCTGGCCGGTCCATCATATGGACGTGAAGTCCGCGTTCCTGAACGGGGACCTCCAAGAGGAGGTGTACGTCTCCCAGCCACCCGGCTTCGTCGACAAGAAGAGTCCCGGACACGTCCTGCGCCTCCACAAGGCGTTGTACGGACTGCGTCAAGCCCCTCGCGCCTGGAACACTAAGCTGGACACGACGCTGCTCTCCTTCGGCTTCAGGCGCAGCGAGAACGAACATGGTGTGTACATGCGCGGCAAAGCCCAGAAGCGACTGATGGTCGGCATCTACGTCGATGATCTCATCATCACCGGCGGCGACGACGCGGAGCTCAAGGCGTTCAAGGAAGACATGAAGAAACGATTCCAGATGAGCGACCTGGGCACACTGTCGTACTACCTGGGCATCGAGGTGTGCCAGGGGCCGTCCGGGATCACGATATCTCAAGAGAGGTACGCCCTGAAGCTGCTGGAGAGAGCCGGCATGCTCGGCTGCAATCCAAGCTCAACGCCGATGGAGCCACACCTGAAGCTGCTCAAGGAGAGTACTGCTCCACCGGTTGATGCCACCGCCTACCGAAGCATCGTCGGAGGACTTAGGTACCTGCTGCATACACGGCCGGACATCTCGTTCAGCGTCGGCTATGTTAGTAGGTTCATGGAGGCACCAACTGAAGAACATCAGGCTGCTGTGAAGCGTATTCTGCGCTATGTCGCGGGCACAGCAGGCCTGGGACTGCACTACCACCGTGGGAACAAGAAGACGCCGCCACTGCTGCACGGCTTCAGTGACAGCGACCACGCCGGCGACATCAACGATCGCAAGAGCACCGGCGGGGTCATCTACTTCCTCGGCAATGGGCCCATCTCCTGGCAATCGTGCAAGCAGAAGGTGGTGGCCCTCTCGTCATGCGAGGCCGAGTACATCGCGGCTGCGACCGCGACATGCCAGGGCGTCTGGCTGGCGCGTCTCCTCGCTGATCTGCTCGACGTCGAGGCCAGCGCACCTGTGCTACGGGTGGACAACAAGTCCGCCATCTCCCTGATCAAGAACCCAGTACACCACGACCGGACGAAGCACATCGACATCAAGTACCATTATGTCCGGGAGTGTGCTGAGCGAGGCCTAATCGAAGTCCAGTTCATCGGAACGGCGGAGCAGCTGGGTGACATTCTCACCAAGGCCCTCGGCCGACTGAAGTACGACGAGCTGCGCGGCAAGATCGGCCTCACCAAAGTTATCTCCACCGGCGACAGGACTTAGGGGGTGATTTGTTGATAAGCCTGTTGCCGGATATTGTATAGATTATTTTTCTTCCGTTGTTAGCGTAGCTAAGTTTAGCCAGCGCGCATGCAGCCACTCGCCATGAGCTCGTCATGCGCGCATTCTTCACGGCACGTCCCAGCGGTGTGGGATGGCACATCGTGTGCACGAACGTGCCGAGATTAGCTCTGTAATTAGGCTTTAAATTCAGCAATCTAAACCAGAAAACGCTGCCGCTTTTCGCAGCACCAAACTGGGTGTCCAATTGCGTTCGCGTGTGTCCACTTCCATCTCAGATCCTCCTTTCTCGCTGAGCAGTTGATCGGGTTCTGTCACAAGGTGACCGACATCGGCGACCGCGCGCTGTTCGTTGACAGGTTCCATGGCTTCTCGGTGGGCGTAGGCGGTGAGGACACCGCCGGCGGGGTAAAGAGGAACTGCGTCTACACGATCAGTGCTACACCGGTGGAAGACCCGCAAGGGCGCCGCATTGTGGTGTACAACGTGGAAGAGTTTCACTTGGATAGACCGGAAGTGGGAGGGACGCTACAGTGTGAGCTGGGAGGCAGCCAAGTTGAGCAATTGTGGGGAGAGCCGTATTGGATGATCCCAATGTCCAGAGAGGATCCATAGGAGGTTAGCAATAGCAAAGGTAGGGCTGGAGGTGTGAAAGGTACCAATATTTTTCAACTGACAGTTTGACCGAAGATTTAGTATCCATAATACATTTAGTATCGTCTCTGAATCTGTAGATTTAATATCTGTACCCAAATACTCAAATTTGGATATATGATGTCGATATTCATTCATGTCTTATTCGACACAACTGATCAGGTGTCAGACACCTGGTATGCGGCATGGTCCTGTCAAAAGCTCCGAGCCAGCTTGCCGTTGCCGAGTATCGTTCGGTCGGGCAGAGCCCTTGGGCGATGGAGACTCGGACCTCACGGGCTCTAGTCGGGATCCAGTGGGGGCGCCTCTTCGATAGTGAGAAATAGGTTCAGGATACGAGTACTTCCATTTTACAATATATCTGCATTAACCACAAAACACAAACAAAAGCACAAGCATGATCAGAACCATAATAATTCAAAAGTATGGATTCTCAAATGATTGATGTAAACAGCCATGTCTACAAATGCAAAATATATATTGATCTGTCAAATGACCTATGGTAAACAATCATGCCAGCAAAGGCAGACTATACATTGAGCTCATTAACTCTTCCAGTAGAAGAAGTTCTTGAGGCCTTGATTCTCAAAACAAAGCAGAAATTTCTAAAGCGTTACAACAAACAAACGAAGGATTTGAGTTCTTCACTCTTTCCCCCATATGGCAAAGTAAAATTTTGCTATTGGAAAAAAAATCCACCAAAACATATAGTCAAAGAACAAAGGTAGTTGTACAATAGCAGTTCCACGAAACTCAAAAGGACCAATTGCATCGTTTTCAAACATGGAAGCATTTTCAGCATATAGTGTAACAAAAACAAAATACTGAAGACAGAGAAGAAGCCAAAAATCCATTTCCAAGGGAGCCAGCAGATCCATTTCTCTCTGTGAACAATATTTTCCATCTAACGTACATGTTTTCTTTATAAGACTTGACAGGGCCACCATCAGCAATAAATCACTGAACTGGGAAAGGAAGCTTGCCTGCTAAAAATGTGTGTTCGCACTAATCTATTACAATGGGATGTAATTATAATTATAAAAAGTACCACTGATTTGCTTGTTCTCTCTATGGATAAATAGGGAATAACTTCATCATCTAATTATTTCAGTGAACTTTTGAATCCCACAACCACAAGTATCAATGACTCCGAGTGCTAGTGACAGCAGCTATCCAGAACCCAGATAAGCAGTCAACATTTTGCAAATTCGCTCAAGGAGCTCAAAATCCGCCACCAAAAATCACTAAGTTCCAAGCAGAGCTCTCCTGCTCCTTCCCACTGCCAGAATGCAACCAAAGGCAAGAAAGGAGGACACTGGACACGATCACCAGAATCCACGTTTGATGCGATTTCTCAGGACCCCTGATTTCGCACTGAAGAAGAAGAAGAAGAATCCCCAGCCTATTGACCTCGGCGCCAATCAGAGCCAAAACCCTTCAAAAAGTTACAGGAAATTCCCATTGACGATAAACGCGGCGACCTAGGATCGGCAGCCGAAACTTTAACCGACCAAATAAATGCCACGAACCCTAACTAAGCGAGTCCCACGATCAGCAGGCATCGTGTTACATCGGGCGAGGCAGAGTTCCCTCCCAGAGGCCGAGCAAGGCGGAGCGAAAACCCAAGGGTCGGGTGAGGCGGAGCTCACCCCCAGAGGTAGGGTGAGGCAGAGCGCAAACCCAAGGGTCAGGCGAGGCGGAGCCCGCCCTCAGAGGTCGGGCGAGGCAGAGCCCACGGCCTCGGTGTCGGGCGAGGCGAAGCCCGCCCCTAGAGGTCAGGCAAAGCGGAGCCCGCCCTTAGAGTTTGGGCAAGGCGGAGCCCGCGACCTCGGTGTCGAGCGAGGCGTAGCCCTCCCCCAGAGGTCGGGCGAGGCGGAGCACAAACCTGAGGGTTGGGCGAGGCGGAGCCCGCCCCTAGAGATCGGGCGAGGCGAAGCCCGCGACCTCTTTGTCGGGCGACGCAGAGCCCGCCCCTAGAGGTCGACCGAAGCGGAGCCCGCCCTCAGAGGCTGGGCGAGTTAGAGCTTGCGCACCTAGGGGTCAGTTGGAGCTGTAGTCGCGCTCTTGACTGTGTGGATGAATCGATGTTGATGGTTATTAGCTCTTCCTCTTCGGGTACCCTAGTATTGGTCCCCGACAGTAGCCCCAAGCCTTCGGAGGAGTAGAATACTCCTTCGGAGGTTTTTTGAATAGGAGCACTCTGAAGGCCTTGGCCTTCTTTTGTCTCCCACGGCGTGATCTGGGGACGGTGACTCCCTTTCATCGAGATCAAACCCCTCGAGGGTATAGCCGTGAGGTTTGGTGGGTCGAAAAGGGTCCTTCCCTGATTTTGACCCCTTCAGGGGTCTGTCGTTCTGTGACCGTGTGTTTGGTCTCCTTGCGAGCCCAACTTTCCTCTAGCCCCCACGCGTAGCTAGGGTCCGGTCGAGGGTCGGCTCGTCTTTGTGATCGTCACCCCGTCCATAGTTTCCACAACCGGTGGGGCTAAGCCATGCCGTGATTTTCCTCTATGGACGAGCCACGGTGCTTAGTGAGTTGTTAGCTGGCTAGTCCAAGTGGGGCCCTAGCATCCCGTTCGCAGGGATCTGGCTTGGGTCAACTGGTGACCGACTCTAGACCCTTGGCGGTCAATCCATATAGTTCCTGGGTCCGTTCGACCGGTCCCAAGGGCATTCTACCTTTCTTTTCGAGGAAAAACCATGGATCGTAACCGGCTGAGACTCAATCGTGGGCCGGGATGCCCGTAGCGTTCTTGTGCCCGGGTATTGGCCGCTAGCGGGCCTATCCCTTTCCACCTCTCACCCTAAATGTGCCTGGAGCGGTTGTCGAACCCGTCGATGGGCCGACCTGTGAACTCTTGGGCCTAGTCGGGCCGTAGAGGCGCATTTAGATCTATATTCCTCTTACTCGTGACAAGTCATGGCCCGTTTGAACAGGCAAAACATCCGCTGCTGCATTATTACAAGATCGAGCTGCAACATCTCAACCCCAACGGGATCCAGCACATGGCGACGTTCGTCGCCCTATGCGAGGGGTTCCTGGGGATCAGCCCCCATTTCTATCTATGGAGGTACTTCTTCGCTGTCACCCTCTAGAAGAAGAGGGAGAAGAGCGGCAAGCAGGAGCTGCATATGCCGATGGGGTGCGCCGGCATCTAGCTCCAAAACAATTAGGTCGGTGAGTTCCCGCCCATGCGGGTCTCGACGTCCAACAAGGGGTGACACTCGCAGTGGTTCTACCTCAAGAATGCCGCTGCCCCTCTGCCGAAGTTCACCGGGCGCCTGATCGAAGAGGCCCTAGAGTCGTGGAGGAAGTGGGGCGTCCTAGAGAAGTACAAGAAGAAGATCTAGGACCACATCGCCGCCATCCACATCCTCAAGGAGAACGGCCTGAAGGGGTCGGGCATCATCGGGGCCTACCACGCAAGGAGGGTGGCGCCATTGATGACGCGAGCGCTCCCGCTATACGTGATGGCGCCCGAGGTGTCGTTCGATGGAACGACGCTCGCCGAGGGGGTGCTCCCCAACTCTGAGATCGTGTAATGCATGAAGGAGGCCATGGAGCCTTCGTGGGATGATGCGGGCACCCCCCTTGATTTCGTCTTCTCGGCGCCGAGACATCCTCCGATGCGGCCAGAACCAGGCCACGTCATCTTCGTAAGTTTCCCCTTCTCCTGCCTTCTCTTCAATCGATTTCCTGACCTCTTGATACTAACTTTGAGAGGGGCAGGACCAGTTGAGGGGCCTCATCTTCATGGATCACCCGGCACCATTGCCGAGGGATGTCTGTGAGGGTGGCGAATTGCACCAAGGGTGAGCGGCTGAGGAAGGCGAAGGAGGACAAGAAGAGGAAGAGGCAGCAGAAGCTACAGGTGTGGGAATGGGGGGAGGACACCGATAGTGACAATGATGATGATGATGGCAACGACGATGACATAGCCAATGATGTCGAGTGGGACATCCTAGAGAACGAGGATGCGCTGATAGGTATCGGTTCGTCCTTGCAGGAGTTGGGACCCTTCCCATTCCATGGAGAGGAGGGTACGTCTGAGGAGTCGGCGGAGGCGGGACGTACCATCGGCCTCCCTCAGGAGTCAACGGGGGCGGGCGGCTCTGCTGCCGTGCCTAAGATGTCGACGGAGGCGGGCGGCTCCACTGTCATGCCCCAAGAGTCAAGGGGAGCGAGCCCCTCTACCCAGGAGCAGGGGGCGAGCTCGAAACGGCATCGCCCCTATGAGGTAGAGCAGAAGTTGGGGGGTTCACCTCCCAAATGTATCTGCCACCCGATGGCTCGGAGGTGAGTTATCCACTCCTCTGTTTTTCCCTATTTTGTTTGGATTTCATCGTGACTTATGTTTTTGGTCCCTTGCAGCGTCGACAGGCAGTGGAAACCTTTGGCGCTGGCCCCAAAGAAAAACATCATCCTTCAGGCGGGGCCCGTGCCCTCGGCGGGATGGGCGGACGTGGGGGCTCAAGGGGCGCCTTCAGAGGTCACAGAGCAGCCGACGATGGTGGTGATATCACTGCCGACAACGGGGTGGATGGGGCTACCGACCACGCTCGTGGCGGGCGCGACGCAGCCAGTTAGGGCCCCGCCGATGTAGGTGGAGGCGGCGGTGGCTGTGATAGACGGGCCACAGCCGAACACAACTATGGTGGCGCTGAGGCACCGACGTGACCCGTGCCATTGGCGGCTTAAGCGACAGCACCTGTCGTGGGCCGGACGGAGGGGGACACGGCTGAGGGGTCACCGGACATTGTGGTGGTGGCAAAGGGGTTGGCGGTGCTTAGGACTGGTGGGGAGTCATCCCTGGCACTGATGTTGGTAGACGATGACTTGCTCGTGTGGGGCGAGCCCCTGCTCCGGTGGACGAATCCACAGGATCTGGCGTCGATGCTCTTCACCATCGATGATGCCGCTGAGAGCATGGAGTGGGAGAGCCTCAACATGGGGATCACGTC